TGGCTCTCATGGCCTGAGCTCTAGGTCAGCATTTTGAGGATATCCCTGGGTGAAATTAGCACATAAACTGCTTTGGGGGAGCAAATTCCAGATGAGGAACCTCTCTGTAAGTGTATGGAGAAGAAATGGAACCCTTGCATGAGCTGGAGCAAGAGGAATGGTCCAAAGCAGAGGATTTGTATCGCTTCCATGTACAGGCTGTGTGCTGATGGGCTGTGTGTAGCACAGGAGCGATGATTGCTCTGATCAGTGGCAGGGTGGGTGTGATGGGGTGAGCACTATGCAAAGCAGAGCCAGCAGGGACTGTGAAGAGGATAGGGACACTGCTGGTGGTCCCTGGCTGCGCTGGGGCCCTGGGCAGGATCTCGGTGTGCCCCACCAGCCCCAGGCCTTGAGAGGGGCTGAAGTAACACCAGTCTCTGCTCTTGTTCCCTAGGATGCAGGAGGAGGCGGCCATGGTGCTCCTCTGTGGTGCCCTGGGAAGGCTCTGGAGAGACCTTAAAGCAGCTACCAGTGCCTAAAGGGGCTCCAAGAAAGCTGGAGAGGGGCTTTGGACAGGGGCCTGTAGGGACAGGCCAAGGGGAATGGCTTTAACCTGCCAGAGGGGAGACTGAGATGAGCTCTTAGGCAGAAGCTCTTCCCTGTGAGGGTGCTGAGGCGCTGGCACAGGGTGGCCAGAGAAGCTGTGGCTGCCCCATCCCTGGCAGTGTTCAAGCAGCTCCACGAGAGGGCGCCCTGCGGCGGCAGGTGGGCGGTGTCATGCAAATGAAGGGGCGGAGCTATGTTAACGAGCCCCGTTCTCCCCCGGCCGCCATGGCGGCACCGGCAGAGGTGAGCACGCGTGCGGCTGCGCGGCCCCGGCCCCACCGGCCCCACCGGCCCCACCGGCCCCGGCCCCACCGCCCCGCTCTGCACCCCCCAGGAGAGCGCGGAGCCCGCGGGGAGGGAGCCGCGGCTGCGGGACACCCCCGAGGACATCTGCTTCGAGGCGACCGCCAACGCCATCGCCCTGCACCCGGCCCGGCCGCTGCTGGCGGCGGGGGACGTGGACGGCGATGTCTACCTGTGAGTGAGCGGGGCCACGGCGGTGTTCGGGGGGTCCCGTGTGCAGGAGCCGGCGGGCAGCGGCCGCTGATCCCGGCCCGCTCCGCAGGTACTCGTACTCCTGCACCGAGGGGGAGAACCGGCAGCTCTGGTCCTCGGGGCATCACCTCAAGTCGTGCCGGGACGTGGCCTTCTCCCAGGACGGGCAAAGTGAGTGCGGGGAACGCGGGGTGCGGGGGGCACCGGGACTGCGGGTGCTGATGTCGTTCCCCAGAGCTTTTCACCGTGTCCAAGGACAAGTCCATCCATATCCTGACGGTGGAGGAGGGACGGCTGGAAACGCGCTTCCCCAAGGCACACAGGTAGGTCCGGGGGGCGTGGGGCTCTAGGTAGCGATGTCCCCTTCCATCCTTTGCCAGAGCCGCGCAGGCAGAGGCTGGAGCATCAGCGATGTGAGTGTGACTGTGCTGCCGTGGGGCCGGGGTCTCTGCAGCTCGGCCCTCAACTGCGTGCTGCCCATCGATACCAACGTCTTTGCCACGGGCGATGACAACGGGGCGCTGAAGGTGTGGGACCTGCGCAAGGGGGATGCAATCTTGGAGGCCCGGGAGCAGGAGGAGTACATCAGCGCCATGGCTGTGGATGGTAACGGGAAGCTCCTGCTCACTGCCAGGTACTCGCGGCTCTGCGGGCTCCCGCATACCCACAAAGCTCATAGACTCACAGCCTGGTTTGGGTTGGAAGGGACCTTAAAGTTCATCCAGTTCCACCCCCCCTGCAGAGGGGGAAAATCCCCTCCCTGAGCTGCTGCTCATGCTCTGGGGGTGCAGCCCCGTATGGGCGGGGGGGGGGGGGGTGCCTGAGCTCCAGCACACACTGAAGCTGGGTCATGGGGAGCTTCTTCTCACCCAAAAACCCCAAGTCCTTCTCAGGGCTGCTCTCAGTCCTATTTCTGCCCAGCCTGTATCTGTGCTTAGGATTGCCCCAGCCCACTTAGGATTGCACTTGGCTGTCCTTACGTCCTTCCCTTAGGGCTGGGGGAAGCACCCTGCACCAGGTCCCATGCTCACACCATGCTGCTTCCATCTCCCACAGTGGTGATGGCACCCTGGGTGTCTTCAACGTGAAGAGGCGTCGCTTTGAGCTACTGTCAGAGCCGCAGAGTGGGGACCTCACGTCTGTGGTGCTGCTGAAGGTTGGTGCTTGGCCCTGCCATGAAGCACGATCATACATTCGCAACTGGTTTGTGTTGGAAGGGATCATAAAGCTCATCCAGTTCCAACCCCCTGCCATGGGCAGGGACACCTTCCACTAGAGCAGCTTGCTCCAAGCCCCTGTTTCCAACCTGGCCTTGAACACTGCCAGGGATGGGGCAGCCACAGCTTCTCTGGGCACCCTGTGCCAGCGCCTCAGCACCCTCACAGGGAGGAGCTTCTGCCTAAGAGCTCATCTCAGTCTCCCCTCTGGCAGGTTAAAGCCATTCCCCTTGTCCTGTCACTACAGGCCCTTGTCCAAGGCCCCCCTCCAGGTTTCTTGTAGGTCCCCTTAGCTATTGAAGGCTATAAGGTCTCCTGCAGATCCCTCTCCATGCCCTGTTTTTTTTGTCCTGCCTCTGCTTTACCATCCTCCATCTTGCCTAGAGGGGAAAGAAAGTGGCTTGTGGCTCCAGTGAAGGCACCATCTACCTCTTCAACTGGGACGGCTTCGGGGCCACCAGCGACCGCTTTGCTTTGCGGGCTGAGTCCATTGACTGCATGGTCCCCATCACGGACAGCATCGTGTGCGTGGGGTCCCTGGACGGAGTCATCAGGTCAGGGGCGTGTGTGGGGTGGGTGTGGGACGAGATCAGCCCCGGCCGGTCACAGGCGGAGGCTGTGATGGACCAGGATCCCCACAGCTCCCCCCCCTCTGCAGGGCAGTGAACGTCCTGCCCAACCGCGTGCTGGGCTGCGTGGGGCAGCACCTCGGGGAGCCCATCGAGCAGCTGGCGCTGGCACCGGGCGGGCAGCTCCTGGCCAGCTGCGCCCATGACCAGAAGGTGAAGTTCTGGGACGTGTCGGCGCTGGCGGGGCTGGTGGTGGACGATTACCGCAAGAAGAAGAAGAAAGGGGGGCCCCTGCGGGCGCTCAGCGGGAAGGCGGTGGGCAGTGGCGAGGACTTCTTTGCCGACCTGCGGGATGAGGCTGAGCCGGAGGCGGCACCAGGGAGCGACAGCGACGGTGGGGACTGAGGGGATGGGAGCGCAGGGTTGTAACAGGGTGTCCTTGGGATGGGGGCATCCAGGCATGGGGGATGTGGCTGCAGTCCCTGGTGAAAGGGTTCCGGGGTTCAAGAGTGAGGATCCCTGGTGGATGGAGGGGCTGGGTCTCAGATGGGGTGGGAGACATGGATGGGGATCCAGCCCTGGGAGGGGAGTGTGGTGTGGGTGTAGGAAAGTTGGGGTTTGCTGGTGTATTTGGGGGTCCTGGGATGGGGAGGGGAAAGCAGAGCATAGCTCAAGGGGCTGGAGGGTGATGGGGTCCTGGGGTGCCTGGCCAAACGGGTCCACCCCTTACCCGAGGCCCTGCCTGACCCTGCAGTGCTGTCAAAGCAGGTGTGTGTTCTCTTTTGTTAATTAATTTATAGATCAGCTCTATTGCAAATAAACCCAGTGCCTTTCAGTTCCTAGTGCCTTGTGCTGATGTTGTGGCTCACCCCAACTTCCCTGGCATCCCTGGTACATCCAGGACCTGCCTGTGGGGCACTGGGGATAGAGATGGGGATGGCATGGGGGGAGAGCATCCTGTGCCTGGGTGCCCTGAATTGTCACAGGCAGTGGTTGGTTCCTGCTGGGCAGGGGGGGTGGTGCAAGCTGTGAGAGCATCCAGGGCATGGTTTTAAACCAAAACAGGAGGCATTAGGAAGCTCTTCCCTGTGAGGGTGCTGAGGCGCTGGCACAGGGTGCCCAGAGAAGCTGTGGCTGCCCCATCCCTGGCAGTGTTCAAGGCCAGGTTGGACACAGGGGCTTGGAGCAAGCTGCTCTAGTGGAAGGTGTCCCTGCCCGTGGCAGGGGGTTGGAACTGGGTGAGCTTTAAGGTCCCTTCAACCCAAACCTGTCTGGGATTCTGTGATTTATCACCAACACAGAGTCCAACCTGCCCCAGTGCAAGGCAGGGACCTACGAGCCCACAGGAGCTCTGGGAAGCAGACAGGTGCCCAGAGCCAGTCAAGCCATACCAAACAGACTGAGCTCCATGAGCCACATCCCAAAGCTCTGGGAGGTTGCTGGGGCACTATTAAAAGGCAGTGGTTCACCACTGTTGAGCACAGAATGGCTGCTGAAGGACACCTGAAGGCGCTTCAGTCCCCCAGTGCTGTACTATAAGGCACCTGGGCAGCACAGAAAAGCACATGGAGTTTCCTTAAGTGCACCAGAAGACACTTGGGAGCATACTGAACCCAGAAAGACCCTTGGAAGGCTCTAGAGGCTAACAGCAACGCACCTGGGTGCTCAGCACAGGAGATGGGACTGGCAGAGTTCTGTACTTGGAGGCACCCAGGTATGCCCTGAAATGCACTTGGAAGCCACCAGTGCTCAGCATCAATCAGTTGCAGACCTCATCCCTCCTGCAGCTAAAGGCAGGCTTTCTTGGGGGGAGCAAAGGACCGAGATGGTGCCGGACAGGCAAGGAGGTGGGAATAGAACAGGACTGGACACAGCAGTGCTTTGCAGGCTACTTTAATCCCAGTGAACAGTGCAGCCAGACCTCCCGGTCCTGAGGAATCATTCATAGACAGCCGGGCCCCAAGGCTGCTTCCCTGCAAAGCAGACGGCCCTGCACAGCTCCAGACACTGCAGCACTGCCTGCCTACACCAGCTCCACCAGCACAAGAACAGCCCCCACGGGCTGCTCCTCAGGCACCAGACACAAAGGAGACGGGGCCCCACCGAGCCCAGACAGCCCTAGTGTCCGGCGGCTCCAAGCAGCCACTGCTTCTTCCAGGGCCCCTCCACCACAGCACAGCAACGCAAACCAACTGAAAAGAAGCCAAACTGGGCCAGATTAAAACAACCCCAAAAACAGAACCATCCCCAAGGGCTGGCCAGGGACAGGGCAGCAGCCATGCACCAGGCCAGCAGCTCCGTCCTCAGCACCAGCTCTCAAACCAAACCAAACCAAACCAAACCAAACGGAACTCAAAACAGAGCTGGAACAGGACTCTGTCCCAGCGGGGCTCACTTGCCGCTCCGGCAGCACCGGGGCTGGTGGCTCAGGTTCAGCTCATGGCACGGGCAGAGCACTGCCTACGTCAGCCGGCACCCTGCAGCGGGGAGGGAAGCGTCAGGCTTTGAGCAGCATCCCAAAACCCTCCTCCCTTTGCATCTTCTGCTTCCAACCAGGAATCCCACCCAGGGCTGAGAGACATCAGGGTCACATCTATTCGATGGGGGATCTGACCCTGCTTGTGTCCCCCAGAGCTCCACACTCCCAAGAGATGCTCCAAGGCTTTTGGAGGTTGGCACAGGTACCGCACATGGACTCACCCAGCATCCGCAGAACCTGCAGCGCCACCGCAACTTTCGCCTCCTCGTGGCCACTCCTGCCTGGCCCGTCCCGCACCCATGCGAACCCCATGAAGGGCATGGGGCACCCCGGGATCACCACCTGGCACCAGAACTGCAACCACCCATTGGGGTTGGCCTGGACGCACTTGGTGAGGAACAAGGGGGGCCCCAGGTACTGGCTCCGGCACAGGGTGTTGAGGTGCTCCAGCGCGTTGTGCAGCACCGGAGATGGGGGAGCCTGCTTGGCGAGCCGCGGGTGCTTGGCCCTCTGTACCCGGCTGGGCGATGGCTTCTCCTCCGGTGACTGCAGCTTCTGCTTCAGGTCAGGGTTCAGCCAGTCCACCCTTATCTCTGCCCCACCGAGCCTCATGTTCCCTAGGACAGACGAGCAGCAGCTGCCAGGGGATGCTCAAGCACCAGCAGCCCAGTATCTCCCCATCCCACGCCACCCTGTCCCCCAGTATCTGGCACAGTGACCCCAAGGGTGGTTTGCTGCTGACCCCCAGTCCATGAACCACACAAAACCCTCTCCCCTGCCTCTACATCCCCTCATGCAACTACAGGGCAGTTGCTCCTCAATCTCCTTTGGCTACCGAGGTGGGTTCAGAGCTCCAAAGCTCAGATGATAGGGCCAGCCTTTAGGAACTAGATGCAGAGACATCAAAGCCAAGTGTTTCTCAACTGGGGCAGAAGTGGATACACATCAGGGCTTTAGAGATTCTGGCTGGATGTCTGTGAAATGTGTCCCAGGGTTGTGCGATCAAGGGATGGGGCAATGAGGAGTAGGGAACCTCCATAAAAAGGGTAACTTGGTTAAAGCTCTGGATGCCCTGGACTTGTACTGGTGATGCTGCTGCTCTGAGCAGGCAGCTGAAGACCTCCAGCAGTCCCTCTACCCCACCTCCCCAGTGAGGACAGCTGACCTCCCATGGGACACAGGGACAGAACACGGGATATCTTCACCTCACAGCTGAGCTCCGAGGTGGAATCAGCCCTTAGAGACACCAGGAAGAGCATCCCAAGCATCCCCCCAGCCTCCCATGTACCTTCCATGAGAGTTTTCTTGGCCATGGCAGCAGCGTGGTGCGAGCTGAACTTGAGCAGGGCGAGCTGCGCGCGCTGCTGGCCGGGGCTGGGGTGCAGGGTGACGCTGAGGATGCCCGCGGTGACACGCCGCAGCACGGCCTCCAGCTCCCGCCGGCTCACCGAGCCTGCCAGCCCGTCCACGCTGAGCTCGCACTTCTCCGTGCTCCGGCACACCACGATGGCGCAGCCCTCCCGCACGCTGAAGTTGTTGAGGGCGGCGATGGCCTCCGTGGCTGCGCGCTGGGTGCTGTACTTGGCGTACGCGAAGCCGCGGTTGAGCCCGCTGAAGGTCATCATGAGGCGGAACTCGTAGAGCGTCCCCACGCTCTGGAAGAGCGGGATCAGGATGTTCTCGTACATGTCCTGCGGCAGCTTCCCGATGAACACCTCTGTGCCTGCCGGAGGGGGGTCGCCCACCCAGCCTGCGGGCACACAATGGGCACGTACAAGTGACAGCCAGCTTGCCACCGGGCACCCTACGTGCTGTGCTCCCAGGGCACTACAGCACTGAGATGCTCTGCTCACGTACCTGGGGGTGGGCCACCATATCGCCTCTGCCCGTTGATCTGCACTAGGTTGATGCCCGTTTCTTTTGCCCAGGTAAGCAGGGCTTTCTTATTGGCCTGGTTGATGCTGTTGGTCCATGTCTGAAGAAGAAAACGATGGAGTTTGTATGGGCAAAGAGTTTCCAACCTCCCAACAACTGGGGGTATCCCAAGCCAGTGGAGCAACTGCAAGGCCCAGCACCAGCCAGCATGTAGAGGAGCAAATGGTGAAGCCCTTTGCCTTAAGGAATCGAGAAGAGCCTCTTGACAATGCACACCCAAAGCTCTACCCTACCCACTGTCCAAGCCTGCTCCACAGGGTGAAGTCCAGCAACACAAGGCCAGGTTGGAGGGGGCTTGGAGCAACCTGCTCTAGTGGAAGGTGTCCCCACAGCAGGGGACTGGAACTGGAAGAGCTTTATGGTCCCTTGCAACCCAAACCAGTCTGGGATCCTACGACACCTGCAGCTGTCTGAGAGCCAAGACCAGTGAGCAGTTGGCTGCACAGAGATTAGGTGACCCATCACAGGCAAGCCGGGACCCCAACACAGCCAACCCTCTTCTACCAGACCCTCCTCTGCCTTCTGAGGACATCAAGGATGGTCTGGAGACACCAATATCACAAAGCTTCAGCTCATTAACCACTGCAAAGTCTCATCGCGGCTTCTGAAACTGCTTGCTGAGTGGGACTAACCCGAGCTCAGGCTACAACATACTTTGGCCGCCCCTCCACCTCCTGCATCTCCAGCTGCAGCCCCAAGGTGGCACCTTCCTATCTGCAAGGGGTTTTGTCTTCCCTGCGGCCAGAAAACACCTTTGGGCGGGGACCCATCTAAGGGGAATCTCTGCTGAACGGGGGCAGGATGCTCGGCCACAACCCCGGGGCAGGGTCCCCGCTCTTCCGCTCCCGGCAGGTTCCGGGGAGCGGCAGGACCTGGTTCTGCCCCGGCGGAGCCCACCCGAGCCCGCAGCCCCCGGGCAGGCGCTACCAGGGCTTTACCGTCACCCCCGAGGGGCAGCCCCAGCTCACGGCGGGTGGGGTGGGACCAGGCTCGGAGCCGGCGCCGGGACTCCCGGCCGGAACCCCCCAACGATGCCCACCTCGATCTCCATCGCCGCCGCTCCTCTTGCTCCTCCTCGCCGCCCTGGACCAGGCTCTGGAAGGTTCCAGCACCGCCCATCGGCCTCGCACCGCCCCGGGCGGGGACCCGACTGCAGTGCCCGCCCCTCCAGGGCGCAGCGACCCCGTCCGCAAGCTCTGCTCCCGCTGCGTTGCCGCGCCTGGAAGCCGCGGAGGCGAGAACTAACGTGGTGCGGGCTTGGAGCTGGGCGAGATGCGGGACAGCATCGAAGGGAAGCTGGGGATGAGGGGTCCCCGAGTCACCCCAGGAACCCGTTTCACCCGTGGGGAGCCCAGCTCCTGGCTGGTGGGAGCTCTGCTCTGCACATGGTGCAGTGGTGGGAGCCAGAGGCAAGGAAGAACGAAGGCGGTTGAAGAAGCATCCACCGTGACATTTAAACCCCAGCTCCTGCTCAGCAAGGCAGGGGAGCAAATCCCTGCCCCTGGCAGGAAGTAGGGACAAGCAGCACAGAATGGGAGAGACAGGTTTATTATTTCTGGGAGCAGTGCCTTTACATGTTGCTCGAGATAAGGTCACCTCCCTGCAGCCAGAGCAGAGGGACGGGGCAGGATGTTGATTCAAAGCGACAGGAACAAGAAGCTGCAGCCAAGCCCCTGGGGTCTGCTGACAGCACAGGGCTCCACGTGTCACCACGGGACTCCACAGCCACCACAGCATTTGCCAGAGCTGCTCAAAAACATCCAGCAACATACCCAAGGGCCAGGGCATGTCATAGTAGTCAGTGCAGCCTCTCTGCTCCCAATGGGAAAGGGAGGGCATGAGACAAGAATAAATAGTGTCCAAAGGCCCCCCTGCCCCTGTTGCTCCGTGGGCTAGTGAAGGTATTTACAGGAGGAAATCTGTCAGCCAGAATCCAACAAACGAGCAGACACATCCAGAAGGGGTTTAGGGGCAGCTCGTTCGCATCCTGATCTCTTCTACCAGGCTCTCCCGGCGAACGTTGACCTGCATGGGGAGAGCACAAAGTTGCTTCAATACAACACAAGCAGTTTGATGGATCATGACTTTCCCTGCTCCCACAGGGATGGCTGGCACTGTACTGTGGCCCTATGGTCACACCATGATGCTGTCACCAATGGCACTGCAGGGCTCAGTGGGCTGCAGCACATGTGGAGTGAATCCATCAGAGCAAGCACCTGCCTACAACCTGCCAAGCCCTCTTCTGCCCACCATCATGACAGCGATGCTCTTCCCACTCCTTCCTACTGGTTCCAAACCCAAGACCAGTGCATACATAGCACTAGTCCCATTCATTCCAAGAGGGCACCTCCTGGACCTTCAGCATTGGTCCCATGCCCTGGATGGAATGCTCAAGCAGTCATACACGGAATCACGCCTCCGTGTTTCAGGCTCCAGAACTGAGGAATGTCTGGGAGTTCAAGAAGGCCACATGATAGCAAACTGCTCCACAGCTCTAGGAAACTGTGTGGGGTGAGGAGCTGGCATGTGAGGTGTTACAAAGTCCATGAAGAGACCTCTGCTTGAAAAGATCCAATGAGAAGCCACTGTATAACATCCCGAGAGCCTGTTAATAGGGTGCTTGGTGGCAAACACCAGGGCACGTGCTCCTCACAAAGGCAAGATGGGCTGAGGAAACTCACCCAGCCTCCTAAAGTGCACCCACAAGTCCACCACCATCAGTCCACAGCCCTCACTTTGAGTCTGCCAGTCCCCTTTGGGCACTACACTGAAAATATGGGCCAGCAAAGCAACCTTGCAGTGTACAACCTGAGGGCACCAGTGCAGAGCATGCACAGATGGGGCTGGAAGGCTGACCTGAGCCTGGATGAAGGGTCAAGGAGCTGATCCCCCTCACACCAACCTGCCCTGGGCCTCACCTCCTCCCTGGTTGCCACCATCCGCAGCTTGACGACTCCATCCTTGAGCTCCTGCTCGCCCACAATGGCAACAAGAGGGATGCCGGTGTCCTCACAGTACTGCAGCTGGTTCAGCAGCTTGGGGTTCTTCTTGTAGAGCACTTCTGCCTGCAAGAGAACCAGAGAATAGCACCATAATTTGTGGACCTGTTTGAGTCTAGAGGAGGCCATGGCGATGCTGTGAGGGCTGGAGCAGCTCTGCTCTGGAGCCAGGCTGAGAGAGCTGGGCTGGCTCAGTCTGGAGAAGGCTCCTGAAGGGGAGACCTTAGAGCAGCTCCAGTGCCTAAAGGGGCTGCAGGAAACCTGGAGAGGGGCTTTGGACAAGGGCCTGTAGGGACAGGACAAGGGGAATGGCAGAAAACAGCCCAGGCTCCTCCCTGGCCCCACTTTCCCCTTGCAAGGCTCCACTTTTTTTTGGTTTGTTTTTAGGAGCAGCATGGTATTCCAGCCATGGCCACACAGCAGGGGCTGGAGTGCTGCCTGCTTTGGGAATATGCCTTGAGATAACAGATACAGAGCAGCCCCTGCAGTGTTACAGGGCTACTAAGTCATGCTGCCCAGCCCTTCCTGAACACCTGATTCAAGACACCAAGAAGAGGCAGGCTCCGTTCAGGAAGCCCATCTGCTGCCCACCTTCTCCCTGTGACTCCTTCCTCCCAAAGCAAAGCCAGATCTGGTCCATCCCCGGCACAGGGTGGACCAAGCAGTTCCTGACTTGGCCATCACCTGGTCATACCTTGATTCCAGCATCCCACAGCTCAGCAATGAGCTTCAGCCGCTCTTCCAGGAGCTTCTTTTGGGCAGAGGCCACCAGCACCTGTGTCTCTGTTGTCCTGATCTTCTCCTCAGAGGCCTAGGGCAGGGACAAGACTCAAAAGATGCCCTGGACATACAGAGGTATCTGAGACCCTTTGAGCAGAACAGGTCACCACCCCAGACCCATCAATTCAGCAAAGAGGATCAGGCTCATTGAGTAGCATAAACTCAGGGAGACCCTACAGACCCCATCCTGGAGCAGAACCTCATTTTTTGTTATTATTCCATGATGGGAATTTAACACAACCTCCCTCCTGCACTTCAGGTGCACACAGACTGGAGGATGTGCTGAGAATGAGCAGTTTCCTTGCCTGCTTCTGCATAGGAGCTGCTCCTCCAAGCTCGAGGGCCTCCTAGAGACTTGCTCCAAGTAGCTCAGGAGCAGCACAGCTGGGAAACCCCAGACCAGCTAAGCTGGTGACTATGGGTTAGATCAACAGGAGCAAGCTGAGATGCTGCAGTGCTGTCAGGAAGTGGCTGCTCCCAAGGCAGATGCTGGATACTTAAAGTGGCATTTTCCTGCTGCTGCTTTTGCTGAAGGAGCAAGCCTTGAAAAGGTCACCTGCAGAGGAACAAACCTGGCCAGGGCTGGAGGTGGTGGGGGAAGAATTCAGTTTTCACTTAGAAAACCTGGTTGTGTTCGGCTTCCAGGAGAGAACTCTCCACAACAGGCTTCTGGGGGAGGTAAATGTGCAGCAGTGTTCTGGGATCCTACAAAGACCCATTTAACAGCCAAGCCAGAGAAAACTGGAGCTTATGTCTTGGTTCTGACTCCTGCTTCAGAACCCATTAGGGGCCTGGCTGGCTTCTCCTTCAAAGACTGCAGCAAGAAAGACTCACTTCAGCACTTGCTGGACTAGGGGTACGTGGGGAAGATGTAAATCCTTGCTCCTTCTCTATTCTTAGTTGAGTAGTAAAGACACCAACCTCCACTCTCTGCTCCAGGATAGAGAAGATCCGCTCTATCCCAATGCTGACCCCCACGCAGGGCACCTTCCGTCCCTTGGGATCAAACATCCCCACCAGCCCATCGTAGCGGCCGCCTCCAGCCACGCTCCCGACGCTCACGGGCTCCTCCACGTGCTCGTTCTCCTGCTGCAGCAGCACAGCCTCGAAGATCACCCCTGTGTAATAGTCCAGGCCCCGCGCCAGGCTCAGGTCAAAGGAGATCTGCAGGGCACAAGGGAAACCCCATCACTGCCTGCACTCGGGGGAGCTGGGCTGTGCCCCTCCTGCCCCTGCCCCTCCTCACCTTTCCTGTGATGCCAAACAGGGTCAGGTACTCAAAGAGCAGCTTCATGTCCCCCAGCCCCTCCTTGGCCAGCTTGTTCTGGGACAGCTTTGGGTCCTGGAGCAGCCGCTCGATCAGCTCCAGGCCACCTGTGGCAATGAGACTCTGTTAACGGGGTTAACAGCACCCCTGTTTCCCCAGCCCTCCCTGCCTTGCCTGGAGGAGCAAAGTCAAGGGCTTGACCCCCCAGTGCTCACCGTGAAGCTGGACGTACTCCCCGATGTGATCCGCAGCCTCGGGGGAGAGCCCCTTCTCCCCCACCATCTCGCTCCTCACTTCTTCCCATGGCACCTGTGAAGGGAGAGAAGAACATCAGCCACAGCTCCAAGGATGTGGTCTCCTGGGGAAGCTCTCTGGTGATCCTGCCTGATGCAGGTGAACAGACGTATCTCCCCTCAACAGATCTTTATATGGCAGAACCCCATCAGTGTGCTTAAGAGGTCATACTTCCACTTCTTGTACCTGTCTGTCTGGTTGCACCCCACCCCTGCAGTCAGCAAAACTGCCAAAAAACCTGAAGCCTCAGGACAAATGCTCTGGGTTTGATTTCTGGCCAGAACCAAACATTCAAGCCAGTTCTCCTGGCCCATGTTGAGAGCAGCCCAGGGGCACAGAGCCCCACTGCCACTCCAGCAGCAGCATGTGGAGCCCATGGCTCCATCCCATACCTTGTCCAGTTTGTCCACACTGGAACAGATCGTTCGGAACTTGCTGTCTGGGACACCACAAACTGCAAACATCCCATCAAGGATGCGCCGATCATTGACCTGGGAGAGAGGGAGCAAATCATCCACTGTAACTCAGATGCTTCAGCTTGGTCCAGTTTCTCTCCTCTGTTTTCAAGTGTGGAAGAGAAACCAGCAGATCTCTGCCAAGATTTTTTCATGTTTGGAATTTCTCTTCCCCATTCCCAGGGAGCAGAGCTGCCTCTCCGCCCACAGCTGACGCTGCCAACCCTGGCCAGGGGTATCACATTCTCCCTCTACAGCCATACAGACCTCCACTCAACAGAGAAGAAAATCCAGTGCTGCCTATGAGTCCTCTCACGTGGACAGAAACAGGCCACGGAGATGAATTCAGTGTTATCTTGCTCTCTCAGTGTAAGAACAAAGAGACATCTGA